CCATGCCCGCTGACATAATCGCGGATCAAACGGAATACCCCAATGAACTTGTGAAGGACATACTTGCTAAGCTGGACAAGTTACTTTTTGAGGCCAACACTATCCAAGGCTTGAAGGTTCAGTACCCAGATCCTGAAGGCCTGAAGGTGAACGGTCTGTCCGATATCACGCCGGTGGCCAACTCCCCCCCAGCTGTACCTCCACCTGAAGCACATGTGCATCCTTGGGGTCACCTTCGCCCATGCCCCGTACATGCTGGAGCAAGTCCTCAAGGTTGGCAAGGAGAGAGAAGTTAACAGATGGTTGGTTGGGAACTTGGCAGAGCTTAAGGAGATCGCGAGTTTCAGGAATGCATTCCTATGCTTAGTTTCTTCCCTGGAGAGCCTCTCGAAGAAGCACCAGCTACTTGAAGACGATTGGAACATGATTGCCGCCGTCAAGGATGCGGTGGCTCGCCTTCCCCCGCTCAGCGATCGCCAGCCTGAGGCTCTTCGTGCTGAGGTGCTGAAGCTCCTAGAGCGCCTCGACTCGACGCTCCCCGTGCAGCCTGGTGGCTCCGATAGCGCTGGTGCCAATTCCCTGGAGGTTCTATCCTCAACTCTAACGTCTGATGTGGGGGCAATCTTGAAGGACATGTACGAAGTTGGACTCAGGCATATCGAGTACACTCAAGTGGATCTTCCAGCTTTCATGGAACTGGAGGATGAGGAGGAGAACCAGCCATAATATCCTGACACAAATCATTTGCCTCCATCCCCATAACTGCTCTCTCCATGTAGATTCAAGACACGAAGTACAGGGTTTTTTCATTCTTAAGCATAATCATGTCTAGTGAAACAAACTTAGTGGCAATGTTAGTAGCTGTCTCCTGTTTGTAGTCATACCTTAGTCTTGGTAGTGTTGAATGGGTAGCAACTTTGAGCCTTTGGCTGGAGGCCAAACTGTGGCTGAGCTCTGTTTTTTTACAGTATCTGTCCATCAAAGCAGATTCATTGAAGTACTCCCTTCCACCCCTTTTACAGCACACCTAACATCATGCAGATCTCACTGGATTATGATAACCACTTTTGTCCTTTTCCCTAACTGGTACTCCAAAATGATGTTGGATCACGCAGGTCAAGTACTGACGTTATCCATGTTGATTTTTGAAGGTTCAAATATTGCTGTTAAGGTTTATTATCATTACTGGTTTCTTTCACTTGATGGCTGTTTTGCAGGAAAGTATCTGGGTATACTTGGCTTTCTTATTTGCATCCGAATGAAAACATGATCAGATAATGTTCGACACTTTTGTGATATTACTGGTGCATGTTGTACACTGATGGTTCAAAACGGCTAGTCATGCTGCTGACCGACCACTGGATTCTACAACACATGTAACCGTGGCATAAATTATCCAAGTGCTACCCTATTGGAAAAAAAACATTATGCTGCTTTGAACTTTATATGTGTGAATCACGCACTATGGATCAGCATGAGGGCCTGGAGTGGCAATTAGGTTCTTAAATCTTGTGTTTTGCATTTGCGTGGTGACAGCTTATTAGGCTGTTATTTGTTTTTGTAATATACAAATAACTTGCTGCTGTCTTTTGTTTGTCAGGTGCTAAATGCTGTGTAGGATCTTTGTATATAGGTGGCCACTGGCTTGCGATTCCTTGCTATTACAGAAAAGAGAGTGCTAACTGGCCAAGTTATGAATCTGCTTCTTACTGATCTATTATGCTACTGTACTCCTTTTCTGCTTATTAGATTACAGTTACGGTTTTCTACTGAATCTAGAAGCTCTGTTGTCCATTACTAGATAAATTCTTACGTTTTTTTTTTGAACGACTCGCACGAGACGATGCGAAGTTCTATTGATAGAGCAATGATAAATTCTTACGTAGTCACGTAGCTTTTGCTTATTCTAATATATGCACAAACGACGTATGATACCACGGATTGATTCTCTCTCTCTCTCTTGTATCTCTAATTCATTTTCTTGGCTATATTACCTTGATTGATGATCTGTTCGTGTGTGGTGGGAGGTTTCGATTTACTTGGCTATTTGGTGCTTCTCTGGTTCTTCTCCGTTTGGTTCCTGGACCTGCTCTCCGTCATCTTGCTTGATCTGCTACTGGTGATTCTCTTCCTCCTGCAGCTAATCCTCCTGCTTGGTGTTATTGATCTAACTTGGTTCTTGAGCTGGAGTACCAACTCCAGGAGATGAAGTCCCTGCTCCTCTTCCTGGAGCTCAAACACCCTTCCTGCTCTGGTTTGGCTTTCTGATTTCCTTGCCATGGTTGCTACAGCTGAGCTGGGGATTTGTGCTGAAGCTTCTGCTCAACTATTTCTCTCTCTTTAACCTTTTTTGATTACTCAGCTCGAAGGCTAGGCCTTCGCCAAAGCTTTCCTACTTGTTGGATAGTATAGGAGAGATATACTGCGTAACGTGGGATATATTGTATTGAGCCTCGGGGGCCGGTATATATAGGAGTACATGAGGAGGAGATAAGGAAGGATTACAGATATGGAAGGAGTCTACACAAATCAATCATATCCTAATATGACTCTAACTACCATATACTCTAACATCCCCCTGCAGTCCAAGCGTGAGCAACGCGGACACTTGGACTGGAGAAGAAACCGGCAAGAGTGCTCAATACGGATGATAGCCCTTTGTGCCGTTGTTGACGTAGCCAAAGCGAAGGAGCCGAGAGAGCCGTGGTCGATGAAGCCGTGCGTAGAGTAGCCGTGGTCGATGTAGCCAAAGTCGGGAAGTTGATGTCGAGGTAGCCGAGCCGCAGGGCGCGCATGGGGCGCCGTAGAGTGGTCGTGGACGCACGGGTGCGCGAGGACACGCTGAAGACGAAGACGGTGACGCGATCGCAGCAGTCGTTGAGGTAGAGGACACCGAAAAGCCGATGTAGTCGAACCGTGAAGGACGAGACGTCACACAGGGTTTGCCAGACCCGGGACAACTCGGGACGAACGCGCGCACCGGTGTTGCCAATACCGCGCGGGCGAGGCAGGGGACCACCATGAATCATATGCCAATGTCGGAGGAGACTAGCAGAGAAGGCCTCCAAGACGGTCGCGGTGCGAGAACGGCGTAAAGGGAGAATTGCAGGAGCAGCACGCAGTTGCCGGAGAAGAGCGAAGTGTAGTCGAGGAAGATACGGCGACGCTGGCGATGAATCATGTTGGACGAAGAAGAAGGTGAAGTAGCGGGACCAACGGCCTGGACAGCGACGTCGGTAGCCATGTAGAGGTAGCTAGACCACTGACCTAGAGCGGCGACAATGGTAACTTGGAGATGCGGCAGCGAAGCTCGAAGTAGAGGAAGAAGACCTTGAGCGGCTGACGATGACCAGTGCGGACGACGAGGGTGTCGATGCGCATGTGGCGATGATGACGACGAGAGGGGCGACGCTGTGACCCGAAGAGGCGACACAGGTGCAGCTCGATGTCGATGCAGCGGCGACAAGTCCACCGGTGATGTAGCCATGCTAAGGAGGGCGCCTCTCAGCACTGCAACAACCAGTGGAGGTGTGGACCACAAGCGGCGGCACTACGGCCCGAGGGGGCGATGCAGCGGCAATCCGAAGCTTGATGGAGTAGACGCGTGCTCGATGACAATCGGTTATAGAAGTCGTTGTAGCCGGGCACCTGAACGGGTGATCAAGCCGAAGATGCGCGGGACTGAATGATGAAGTCGAAGCAGAATTGGTGCCGATGTCGGAGATGCGTAGAAGTCGACGAGGCGGTAGGTGACGCAAGCCCGATCTATGATCGGGAAAAAGAAAAACACACGGATACAAGCAGCAGCAGCAATGCAGTTGCAATTAATAGATAGCCCAACTAGCAGCACATGGGCCAAGTCCATTAATGCACCACAGTCCACACGGGCAAGTCAACCAGCCAACCAATCATCTCCCATCTCCCATTACCAAAACGAGAGAGAGACAGAGGGGACAGGAGCCGAGGAGCCGTAGGACGCCGCATCGTCCGGGTCGCCGACAAGCCGATGGCCTCGGCGGGAGGAGGTCGTGCGGCGGAGGCTGGCCGGCGCCAACAGGGGGCCTCGGGGCCGGCTGGCCGGAGGGGTTGAGCCCCATCCCCCCGGCGGCGGCAGTCAGATCAGGAGCCGGGAAGGCGACGCCGACCGCCGGCCAGGCGGTGGCCCCGTAGCCCTGACGGCAACGGCAGAGCATCGGTGGCCGGCGGCCTGACGCGTCGAGAAGAGGCGGCTGTCCCCCTGGCAGTGGCGGAGACAGATCCCCCCAGGCGGCGGCGGTCCCCAACCGGAGAGACGACGACGAGCGGTGGCAGCCTAGGCGGAGGAGCCGGCGGACGGGCGGTGGTCGCGGAAGGCCGACTGGGAGGTCGTCGGGGCGGCAGACTCCTCCAGATCGATGCCGCCAAGGCAGGGGCCGGCCAACGACGATGAAGGAGGAGGGCGAGCCGGAGGAGGTGCGCCGACTTCCGGCGTGGCACTGGCAACGAGTTCCCCTGGCGAGGCTGGCGTGGTGGTCTGCTAGCTGCTTCATGTTGACGTGACGATGAACGACGACGAGAAGAAGACGCATGACCGATCTGAAGGTTGGCCTCAGATCGATCTGACGACGAGTAAAACGCCCAGAGATTGATCTCTCCAGAACGACGGCGACGACGAAAAGAGAAAAAAAAACGGGTGGCCGCCCCCGGGAGATCGCTACTCCCGGGGGCAGCGGCGGCGGAAGCGTGAGAGCGGCGCTAGATCGCCCACTCTGATTACCATGTTAGTTAGATAGTATAGGAGAGATATACTGCGTAACGTGGGACATATTGTATTGAGCCTCGGGGGCCGGTATATATAGGAGTACATGAGGAGGAGATAAGAAAGGATTACAGATATGGAAGGAGTCTACACAAATCAATCATATCCTAATATGACTACGTCATGAGTGTCTGTCAGTTTCGGAAGCCATCACCGACTAATCCCCTTCAACTATCAGAGAAGGATCTATTCTATAAAAAAAAAAAACTATCAGAGAAGGATCTAAAAGTTGGGCGCGCTCCAGATCAATCAATGTGGGGAATAAGTCCACATTGACTCCTTTAAAAATTGACCCGAATCTAATACATGATCATAAACCACAAAACCTGATATTTCGACCCCCGAATTATTGAAAACAGTGCAATTTAACTTCTTTTGTGGTTTTGGAGGACGATTTTGCTGACGTGGCAGTGTTGACCTAGTTCATGAGGTTGACGTGCCGCTGAGGTAGCATTTGAATTAAAAATATATACGTGGGACCCAGTTATCATTCACACACATAAAAATTGATGTGGGCCCCACATGTCATCCTCTCTCTTTCTTCTTCCTCCCCCTCTTCCTCCCTTGTCTCTTTCTTTCTCTTTCTCTTTCTCTTCTCCTCCCCTTTAGCCGGCCGCGGGGAGCACGAGCTGGAGCGGCTGCGGCGGCGGCGGGAGCGGCGGCCCCCACTTCAGCTTCTCGTCAGTGAGCGTCTTGCAGCAGCGCTTGAGCGGCGGCCGCGGTGGGCTGGACCATCCGGCTTTCGCCCGCCGCGTCCTCCAGCCTCCCCCAACAGCACGCTCTCCAGCCTCAGCGGCAAGCGCGGCGCGCCATCTGCTCCGGCGGCGGTGGCAGCGAGGACTCCGGCGGCGGATCCCGCAAGAAGCTCCGCCTCTCGAAGGACCAAGCCGCCGTCCTCGAGGACACCTTCAAAGAGCACAACACCGTCAACCCTATAAGCAAGCAAACAAACAATCAAAGTAATTACTGTGCTAATCACCAAGAAATCGATCAAGAACAATCTGATTGATATATGCGATCTTCTTCTTGTTGGATTCAGAAGCAGAAGGCGGCGCTGGCGAGGCAGTTGAATCTGAAGCCGTAGCAGGTGGAGGTGTGGTTCCAGAACAGGAGGGCGAGAACGAAGCTGAGGCAGACGGAGGTGGACAGCGAGCTGCTCTAAGGCAGACGGAGGTGGAGGGAGTCAAAGTGGACTTATTAAATCAACGTGGACAGGTTGGAGAGGGAGGCCGGGCTCTGGGGCGTACTGTAGATTTTGGGCCGTTCTCTATGGCCCAGGATGCGGTGTCCGACTCCAACTAAGCCCAGAAGTTCTATTCTATCTGAATAAGGAAATACTCTTCTGTCTGTCTCCCCTTCTCTCGAATTTTTTTTATTTATAATTTTTTTTATTAAAAGTTTTACAAAAATAATTTTCCATTTTGAAAATTGACGGAAGTAGTCGCCTATCGCCCTCTGGGAGGGCAGAGGACGGCGAAAATGACGTGGCAGACGGCCGTTCGCTCTCGGGCGACGGCCGTCAACGAAATTTGCAGGCGGCCCCCTTGCCGCCCTCCGCGAGGGCGATTTTGTACTGTGCGGGGGGCCGCCTGCAAATGGGCGGCGAGGGGGGGCATGGAATTTTGCAGGTGGCCCCCTTGCCGCCCTCCGCGAGGGCGATTTTGTACTGTGCGGGGGGCCGCCTGCAAATGGGCGGCGAGGGGGCATGGAATTTTGCAGGCGGCCCCCTTGCCGCCCTGGGGGAGGGCGATTTTTGCCTCTCCCCCTATAAAGCCCAGTCCCTCCTCTGTGAAATTTCATTATATTCACTAAAAATCCAAAAAAAAAGAAAGAGAGAGAGGGGAGGGCAGCAGAAGGGGAGCGGCGAAGCCCTGCTGGTTCGCTCAATTCATCACAAGTATGCTCCCATACATCTTTTGCATTTGTACTAATATGTTATGTTTGAGTATATATGTTGCGTTTTAGTTTTAGTTCCATATATTTTAGCACATCTGTAGCACACAGCACATATGTGTAGATCCAGAGCATAGAATATAATAGTATGAATTGAGACATAGACAGTAGTGTTAATTGTAAGATGTAGTTTAGTTTGATCTGGAGAATGTAACGTAATTTTAGAAATTTAGAGAACAATATTGTAGAGAATGTAACTTAGGGCGTAGTACAGAAATGCGAGGTTAACGCAGTTATTGTTTTCATCAGGCACAATGTCAAGTAAGGTCACATTTCAGATAGTTCACGGTGAAGGAAATATTAGATTTGGTCCAGATGGTGTTGATCTGTCAGATTTTGTAATGACATCTAAGGGCATCGATAGGCCTGCGGAGAGAACATTTCAGTCAATTTATAGTTGGTTGTTGAGAGGATTTAGAATAGACCAAGAAGTATACACAATGTCAGTGTCAGTTGTAGTGAGTCGTGCAACAGAAGGTTATTTTTGGGAACTAATGCCGATGGACAGCACTGATGCTTGGAGACGGTATGTGGAAATGGCTTTTGAACGGTCATGGCCCCTCGTTATATTTGTGTCGGTAGAAGAGAAAGATATAAATGTTTCAATGCAAACCGAAGATGTAGAGGGTCCTATCAATGCAGGGGATGTTGTTGGACCATCGATGCAAAATGAGGAAAATCAACCAAGGGAGGAGCAGGCTATGGGCATGGCGGATGAGGGGGAGAGAGTCGGTATAATTGTTGATGAAATGGAGAGGGAAGATTCGGATAATGAGGAAGTGGACGACGACGCATCATCCGATGAGGAAGGTGATGTAATGGCCACTGATTGGGCAAATGAGGACTTCTCTGGACTTGTTATATCAGAGGGTGATCATGTACCCTGGGAGTATAAGGAGAACGAGGTAATTGAGGGTGCAAGGTATGCTCATAAGGATGAGATGAAGGAGGCGGTGAAGCATTGGGCAGTTTCCTTGCAGAGAGAGTTTAGGGTGGTCAAGTCAACAAATTATGTGTATGAAGTGAGGTGCATGAAGGAAGATTGTCCGTGGCGTGTCCATGCATATAAGGGTAAATGGAATGATTATTGGAAAGTTAGCATTGTGACCGAGCACAAGTGCTACTTACAAGGGGTGGAGAAGTATCACCGAAACATCACTTCAGCTTTTGTGGCAAGTGAGATGTACAGCAGTGTTGTTGGTAACATTGGCTTTGAACCAAAATCAATTATTAGGCACATCGAGAACAAATTCAAGTACACCATAAGCTATGCAAAGGCCTGGAGAGCCAAACAAAAGATCATTGAGATGAGGTATGGCACATTTGAAGCTTCTTATGATAATTTGCCTCGTTTGTTAGCCACCATTGCCCAGAGGAATAATAATACGTACTATGACCTACATACATTTACATCGGTTGATGATCGAACAAAGAGTGTGCTGCAAAGAGCCTTTTTCTCATTGGGTGCTTGCATCAATGCTTTTGTGCATTGTCGACCTGTTCTATGCATAGATGGAACTTTTATGACAGGTAAATACCGAGGTCAGATATTGACAGCAATTGGGTGTGATGGGAACAACCAGGTTCTACCTATGGCTTTTGCATTTGTAGAGAGTGAGAACACTGAAAGCTGGTACTGGTTCCTAGAGAGAGTGCACATTGCAGTGGTGCGTATGAGGCCCAACGTTTGCCTTATACATGATCGTCACGCGGGTATGTTGCGGGCTATTGACTACTTGCAGAACGGTTGGGATGAGAAGGGACTTCCAGCTAAGTGGCCTGATGTTCGGAGTCGGTGGTGCATGCGTCACATGGGTGCAAATTTCTACAAGCAATTCAAGAACAAGCATCTCATGGAGCTCTTTAAGAGGCTCTGTGCACAGAACCAAGAGAAGAAATTTAATGAGTTGTGGGACAAGTTGGATGAGTTGACAACGAAGCAAACAGATGAGCAATCTCGCAGACCACTAGTTGAAGGTGACGAGCCTCCCATACCTCTTGGTGCATTACATGATGACCCACCAACAATGAGAAGGAGGTCAGGGTCGTCCATCAGAAATTTCACTCAGTGGATTGAGAATGAGCCTAAGGAGAAGTGGTCTCTATTGTTCGACACCGATGGATCTCGGTATGGCATAATGACAACCAATTTGGCAGAGGTGTACAACTGGGTAATGCGAGGAGTTCGGGTACTTCCATTGGTTGCTATTGTTGAATTCATCCTTCACGGCACGCAAGCGTACTTTAGGGATCGATACAAGAAAATTGGTCCGTCCATGGCCGATAACAACATAGTGTTTGGCAACGTAGTGACAAAGTACATGGAAGATAAAATCAAAAAGGCACGGAGACATCGAGTTGTTGCTCAAGGCACACAAGTGCATCGGTATGAAATAATGTGTGTTGATAGGAGCAGGCGTGGTATCTATCGCAAGCAAGCCGTGCAGGAATGTGTCTTGAAGGCGGATGGTGGATGTACCTGCAGTTGTATGAAGCCGAAGCTTCATCACCTTCCTTGCTCACACGTTCTTGCTGCTGCCGGTGATTGTGGCATATCTCCCAATGTGTACGTCTCAAATTATTTCAGGAAAGAAGCAATCTTTCATACATGGAGTGAGGAGATATATGGGTTCGGGATCTCAGGATCTTACACAACGCTGAGTGCCCAAGTTTTTTATATTCCAGATCCATCTAAGTTAAGGGTGAAAAAGGGTCGACGCCAAACTAGACGCATCAGAAATGATATGGATGAGTCAGAAGCAGGTGGGAGGACTTTACGCTGCAGCAAGTGTGATCTGCTCGGCCATACTTACAAGAAATGCCCGAAGAATGCAGAAGTTCCAAGCGGCGCAGATGCTAGTCCATCTGGACAGGCAAGTGATGGTAGGCGACCACCTGGTGAAGGAACAACAAGCAGGCGCGCAAGACCAAGGCGTCGTCGCGCAGCAGGCGATTCCATGGTGTAACAATGCTTTCGATTTAGGAAATAAAATGCTGTTGTGATGTAATGAGTGTTCGGACTAAATACTTCTATCGTGTAATTTCAATTCAATGTTGTTGTAATGAGTACCTCCGACTATTGTTGTACTAGTAGTATTGCGAATTATTCGGTGTTGTATCATAATGTTATCGTGATGAGTGTTCGGACTAAACACTTTTGTTTGTTTGTACTCTTGTTTAATATGTGTTAGTAATTCGCTTATGAACATTTATTACTTATGTTGAACTAATTATTTATATGTTTCTGATCAACCTATTTGATGCAGGTATGGCGTACGACACACCGGCGCTGTTGAACCGTGGGATTGACAGGAACCACCGCTCGTTCCTGTCAGCAGTCGAGGGTGCACAGCTCGGCACCTTCCGTCCACGCACGTCGCGCGAGTGGTTGCGTGTCGACCCCCGTCACGTTCCTTGGTACGCGTATGTTCACATTTCAACTCAACTTTGCTTTGTGTTGTACTTATGTTTGAAGTTTGCTCTATACAGGTTGCGTGCGGCAGGCCTTCTACCACTTTGTAGGCTTGTTGAGGCGGCGGCGGACGACCGTGACCCAGCGAAGCGGTGGGATGCAGACCGGTCACTCCTTGCCGCTCTTATAGACCGCTGGAGACCTGAGACGCACACGTTCCACCTTCCCTGTGGGGAGATGGCTCCGACACTGCAGGACGTGTCGTACCTGCTCGGGCTACCGCTGGCGGGAGCAGCAGTTGGTCCCGTGGACGGTGTTTTTGGGTGGAAGGAGGATATCACTGCGCGCTTCGAGCAGGTGATGCGCCTTCCACACCTAGGACCGACCACCACCCTTCCTCCGTACTCTACAGTCGGGCCTAGCAAGGCTTGGTTGCTCCAGTTCACTGTAAGTAAATAAGTTGTTATTATCATACGTGCTTATTTGCGACCGAATGAGTGTTTTGTACTAACATTTCATTCTTAATTGTAGGCGGACCTTCTGCACCCTGACGCTGATGATTACTCGGTCCGACGCTCCCTTGAGGCGTACCTGTTGTGGTTGTTCGGGTGGGTGATGTTCACTAGCACCCACGGGCACGCTGTGGACTTCCGGCTGGTCCACTACGCACGGTCCATCGCGGATGCTCAGCCACAGGACGTGCCGCAGTGGAGCTGGGGTTCTGCCGTGCTAGCAGCCACGTACCGTGCCCTCTGTGAGGCGTGCACGAAGACTGACGCGGGAGCGATCATCGCTGGCTGCCCTATGTTGCTTCAGCTTTGGGCAGCCGAGAGGTTTGCCATAGGTCGACCAGTGGTGGACAGCGCACCCTACGGGGTTGGTCGCAGCGCGCAGTGGCCAGAGGACGGTCCCACGATGGGGACTTACTGGTGTCGACGTGGGGTTAGTGCAACTTCGCTGCGTTATAAGTTTATCAGTCGTCTTTTTTTTTCTTCACATAACATGTCTAATTCCGATCATGTTTATTGCAGCGTCGTTACGCTCACGTCCAGGTGAGACGTGGTTACCCGGACTTCGTGTTCGAGTTTGACCGTCTCCAGCCGAGCGACGTCATCTGGGAGCCGTACACAGAAGAGGCCGTCGCTGCGAGAGCACCGCTAGGACTTTCGTCCTTGTGCACACGCGACCAGGCTTACTGGCTCACCATCCTGCCGATGGTGTTCGACATTTTCGTTGAGCCTCACTGCCCGCAGCGTGTGATGAGACAGTTCGGACTTAGGCAGGTGTTTCCGGGCAACGTGCAGCCGACCGTCCTCCCTGCCGACCACTCGTGAGTTCGGATTGTTCATTTCTAAATTTTTATGATAATTACTTCATCGAGCCATATAATTTACCTCTCTTCACAGGTTGACTTGACGGGGACAGCTAGCAGGCGCACTTTGGGCTCCACGTGTACAACAGTACGTTGACGACTGGGTGTTAGCTACAGAGGAGGTGATCAACGAGCTCTTCCCACACACGGAGGAGAACTACCGTGACTACCTTCGCTGGTACCTTCCTCGCACTCGTGCGCGTGTGACCTTCACTCCAGACGCCCCAGAGCCGCACGTTGCCGCTGTCACGGACGCGTATCCCACGCACCGTGACCGAGACTACTTCGTGGCGGTACGTCCAATTTGTATTACTTCTTACAATTATTTCATTTATCTTGCATAATATAGGACAACTACTGAATTTGTTATTTCCATCTTGCATAGGCTGATGCCGCACGGGATATCAGTGCCGATATCACCGCAGTCCAAGTGAGGTTGAACAGAGGTTTGCACTTGACTGACGTTGAGCAGAGGGTGACCTTCGACCGGATGCAGGAGAAGATGCGTGCGGTCATGCGCGTCTTCTCCTGTCGCAGCGCCGTGGACGTCGTACCTCCAGCTGGTCCGGTACAACCACGGCCTCGCGCGCCTACCGTCGGAGCAGGACCTCGACCTACGGCACCTATTTCGCACGGTACTGCTCAGCCCAGAGGTTTCTTAAGTTTTGTTTCTGTTTTTGTACGAAAACATCACCCCGTCGTAACTTGATGATCCATCCTCGCAGGACCTCGTTTGCCTTCGAGCGCCCCTAGCTTTGGATCAGTGCGACCTACAGCACCGGTTTCGCACGGTACAGTTCAGCCCAGATATTAGTTCATTTTTGTTTCAGCTTTTGCACGATTATGTCACCATGTTTTAACTGCACGTTTCCTCATCGCAGGACCTCGTCTGCCTTCGAGCGCGTTCGCAGGCACGACCGGCGCTTCCACGAGCTCCGCAGGGGCGTTCGCCACCTCTTCGGGCGCGTTCGCCAGCTCTTCCTCTCACGGAGCGTCGATCCCTCGCCCACACGGTACTTTACTTTTTATTAATACTGTTAAATACCTGTACGAAACTGATGGTCCTTGTCCAGCAGGATTTGCAGCCGGGATCTTCGGTACTGGGGCCTCTTCGTCTCACGCCGGTAGGACTGGTCCTACTAGCCAGTTCTACGACGACGACTTGCACGGTGCAGACCACCACGACGTACTAGGCTCCTCTCAGCTTGGAGGAGCTCCAGAGGCGCACACTCAGGAGCAGCCAGAGGTCACACCTGTACAGGCAGGACGGGTTGGCCGTGCCGTACCCCCGGACCGACTCACGTACTCCCACGGGCACATTAGGGCGCAGGGTAGGAGGGACAGGGGTAAGAGGCCTCGTCAGTAGTGTTCTACCTCTTCAGTCCTTATGTGACCGTTTCTTTTGGCTTACAAACTTGTAAAGCAGTACTACTTTTGCTATTACTACTGCAGTACTACTTGTGTTTGTCTCGTCTACATAGTTCTTTTCATTCATATGGTGCTAGAACAACTTATGCTCACGACAACACACTTTCGGCGCTGCACGGTAGTGTCAGATCCAGTAGCGCGCACAGTCCACAACAGCACACATGAAAAGCGGCAGCTCGAGTTATCACTATCAACTTTCGGCGCTGCCTGTTTACATAAAGTGAATCACGCCCACGCGTGATCGTCTTGTCACATCTAATGAATAATGTATCTCATTGAGTTCACATATATTGCAGTGAAAACGACGCTATATAATTGACAATCTGAAGGCAACCTCTTCATATTTTCTTTCCCACTAGCACACAACACACGAAAATGGAAGTCTATTCATTGGTAATACGTAATCTAGATTTGAGATTATGTAGAACATTCTTCACTACAATTTTACATTTTGGCAGCAAACCAAATATGATCAAATGCAATTTTACCTTACCAAATATTTGGTCGTGAAGAAAAATTTGGCACTAACAATCCAAATATGCCCTAAAAATTAATAAAATATTTGTACGGTAACAAAATATTTGTACGGTAACAATCCAAATATGCCCTAAAAAATAATAAAATTGTATTTTACCAGTCTTGGAGATTTTAATTTTGTATAGTTTTCAATATAAAAAGATTTGATAACTATTGATATTTATACAAAAATATAGAGCACAGTATAAAATCGCCCTAGCGGAGGGCGGCAAGGGGGCCGCCTGCAAAATTCCATGCCCCCTCGCCGCCCATTTGCAGGCGGCCCCCCGCACAGTACAAAATCGCCCTCGCGGAGGGCGGCAAGGGGGCCGCCTGCAAAATTTCATGCCCCCCCTCGCCGCCCATTTGCAGGCGGCCCCCCGCACAGTACAAAATCGCCCTCGCAGAGGGCGGCAAGGGGGCCGCCTGCAAATTTCGTTGACGGCCGTCGCCCGAGAGCGAACGGCCGTCTGCCACGTCATTTTCGCCGCCCTCTGGGAGGGCGATTTTTAAAAATCGCCCTCCCAGAGGGCGGTAGGCGACTACTTCCGTCAATTTTCAAAATGGAAAATTATTTTTGTAAAACTTTTAATAAAAAAAATTATAAATAAAAAAAATTCCCTTCTCTCTTCTCTCTGCAAACAAGTTGTATTCTACGGATATACTGCGCCGCTAGGGTTTGCGCCGGCGCCATCTCCCTCGGATCTGTCATCGCCATCGCACATGCCGCCGTTCTCCAGCGAGCCAATGACGAACAACGAGGGGGAACCAGTGGAAGATGCGTCTTGCCGGTCAGTGCGGCGCCGGCGGTACCGAGAACAAACAAGTTCGTGCCTCTTCTTGCAACTCCCTCTTCGATCGGATTGCAATTTCATTGCTTTTTACGGTCTATATATATCCTTGTCTCGATCTGTTTGTTTCTACCGCAAAGCTGCTCTTTTGGTTTTGCGGATGGGATTGGAGGCTATAGGGTGGAGCTAAAAGATCAAAATCTGTGCGCTCTCCTTAATATACTTTTAAATTTGATCCTTTTTTTTGTGCATACCAAGATAAATCATTATCGTTTACTCCATCCCAATTCCCAAAACAAAAAACAACTTTTGTACATGAATCTATGTCCAGATTCGTGCACAAAAGTTGTTTTTTTTTTCTGGGACAGAAACTTCTCGTACTGCAATACATGAGGGTTTGTGCGGTCACGTCCAAAATTAATTAGCTAATTATTTGTCATGGCAGAGAATTTTCAGTTTGTATTCTCGGTTCCTAATGTTTGGCGTAAAACTTTGTGCAATTTCAGCAACTTAATCACTGCTCTTGTGTATCTCTTCCCTTTTATGTTGTTATCTTGTCGATTACCATCAACCGATGTTTTTTTAGGTACAAATAGTGCTCCACTTCGCCAACAAGGTGATATTTCTGAGGGCGCCCAAAACACTATGACAGGATTCGACTTTGATAGACTTCCACAGGTATGAATTTGAATGCTGATTCTAAAGTAATGCAGTTTCATATAAAAGAAGCAGTTGCCATTAGCATTGCACACATGGATCATGATTTTGTTTGTTGATCAACAAGTCAATGAATAACAATTTTCTTTTATATTTTTTTAGTTGTGCACGTTACATGCTTGTTGGCTGCATTGTTGCTTTGTGCCTTAACTGCCTTTTTCCTCTGGCAGTTTTAAGATTAGATCCTACAGTATATATAGCTCTCCTTTAACTTTGTTGGATTATACAACATTTAATCAGTAAGAGCTACTCATATCATTGGTCAGGATAAAAGGGAATCCTTCAATCAAATTTTTCCATGAACTCTCATTCTTTTTCTGAACCACATTATCCTTGATTTGACTCTTTTATCCATTTTTATTGCAGGATATCTTGTGCCATATACATTCCCTTATTCCGCTACGAGATGCTGCCTGCTTGGCTTGTCTGTCTTGTAGATTTCTACGCTCTTGGAGATGCTTCCCTAACCTCACATTCAATCAGGAAACATTCAGCTTGAATGTTTACGAGGGCACATCATATGAAAAAGAAAAGGAACCAGTGGATATAATTGACAGCATTCTTCAGAACCACTCTGGTACTGGGGTGAAGACACTTAAGCTTGATGTTTCTAATTACTTCAAACCCATCACGGCTGACCATATCAACAATTGGCTTAACGCTGCTGTTAAACCTGGAATCATTGAAATTGCTGTGAAATTTCCTGTACATAACAGGCCAATGTTCAACCTCTCTTGCTCACTTTTATCTTGTGCCGGAAGCTCACTTCAGTCTATTTCCTTGTTCTTTTGTGCTTTTCACCCAACATTAAGAACTGGCTGTTTCAAAAGCTTGAGAAGCGTGTATTTCAAATTTGTCCACATTACTAGTGAAGAACTAGGATGCCTTCTCTCCAGTACAGTTTCATTGGAGAAGTTGGAAATTAGCAATTGTGATCAGCTCACTTCCTTGAATATACCTTCTCATCTGCAGCACCTTACGGTCCTGAATGTGTTATTTTGCACAAATCTAAAGATGATAGAAATTTATGCTCCAAAGCTGACCACTTTTGACTTCAGAGGACGCCCTATGAAAATATTAACCAGTGACTCCTCGCATCTGAAGTACATGACTTTGCATGGTACATTCTTCTCTGGCATGATCCAATATGCTAGGACTGAACTCCATTCTATCGCATCGAATCTTCAGACTCTTACCCTGGCATCATCTAAAGAGGTCTGTTGAGTTACATTATGTACAGTTAATTTATTGCATATATTTGATAATTATGCCTTGAAGCATAACTAACCTTAGCATATTCTTTCTTCAGGATTTTATTACGCCAATGTTGCCTGTGAAATTCCTCCACCTCAGGAACTTGAATGTCTATTTTGATGGCATTAGATTCCAAAGCTATGATTATTTTTCTCTGGCTTCTTTTTTCGAGGCTTGTCCTGCCTTGGAAACTTTCTACATATGGGTAAGTATGTTAACTCTTTAGAGCTGTACATGTGAAAGATTTTTTTAGATGAAATATCAGCACTGGCTTACCTGCTTTTTAGAGAAAGCCCAGAACCAGTACTGTGGTCTTACAAAAAGTTTGCAAACTGAACGAAAAGGGGCAACATACTGGGGTTTCATGTTAAAACAGTTAACTCCTGCATCTTTGTAGACATATTTGATCTCTGTAAAATATCTGGTTAAGTTAGGGCTTTTACGTTATTATTAAGTGAAGTGTCTTGACATAGGCTTATATTCCGCAAGTAATAAGAAATCAGTACTCAATATTCTACCCTAGAAATTACTAGGTAACATTGATGACGTTACTGCTTTGAACAATATTGACCGATCTCTGTATTCAGTTCTTTTAGGCTTGTGTTCGGGGCTATTGGTTGGGAACTTCTCCCCTGCGCATGCAAAATGGAGCAGCTCATTAGCACATGATTAATTAAGTATTAGCTAAAATAAACTTCAAAAATGGATTAACATGATTTTTTAAAGCAACTTTCCTATATATATATATATATATATATATATATATATATATATATATATATATATATATATACACACCCATATGGGACTCCATGGTGCCCGGGCTCCAAGGTATAAAACACACAAATTCTCTCAAATTTTTAAAAATTTTCAAATTGTGAGTATATACCTAGGTATATGAATTTGATTCATACAAATACCTAACAACAAAACAACTCAAACTCAACTTTATTTCACAATTCATTATTACATACCTAATGAATTATATGTTTGGATGTTATATACCTAGAACCAAAATCTAACCAAAAAAAAAGTTTAAACTCAGTTCAAACTTGTTTGAACTTGTTAGTAAAGAAGTTAATGTTCATATCTAAACATTTAAAAAAATTTCATACTCATTCAAATTGGGTATATACTCAATTTGAATCTTGGAGCCCATATTGGGTATATATATATATAACACACCTTAGCAGTTCATAGAAAACATCCTTAGAGTTTGTGTAGTGGTTGCCCTTTACATGAGGGGCCCTCTCATCTCCTCTCCACCCTCACCATTTAGTCTTGTGGCATCTTGGGGCTTGTGCTTAGAGTTCCATACTAGTATGCTTTATTGTGCTAACATATTGCATTGAAAATCTATTATGATATGCCTAGTCAAAACTGTTTTTCTGTTGGAGGATTATGTGACATCAAAATTGATTTTGTGCAGGCAGGAGAGTATGATCTTGCATGGAAGGACCCAGCTCTTCAAGATTCCAATGCAGATTCGTTACAGATAAGGCGGATTCCAGAAATCCACCATGCCAACCTTAAGAAAGTATCCATCAACCGATTTTTCCCGTCAAAGAGCTTGATTGAGCTAACATATCTAATTATTGAGAATGCCTCGTCGCTACAATGCCTTAAGCTGGACGCTGGCTATGGTTTTGACACTAGTGGCATGTGTAAAAGGATGAATAAGTTAGATGTACTCCATGCCCTCAGTGCTGTGGAGGTTGCCAAGAAATATATTGAGGGCAAAGTTCCCTCCAGTGTGAAATTCAACATTCTGGAGCCCTGCGAGCGGTGTCATATTGCAAAACTTTCCCAACTTTAGATTTATTTCAAGTTATATAAATGTTTGTGCATGCGAATGCGTTGTATGATACAGTTACTAATCTATAGAAAGAAACCTGTTGGAGTTTTAGAGAGGAAATGTTGTTAATCAATTTGTCAGCATACTCTCTCAACTCAGAATGTTTTTTTTTCACATGCTGGGTCTAGACGAAACAGGCTCACCAAGGAGAGTCAAGCTTTCATAGATCTCTGGAGTTACTCAGTATTTCGGTACTTCCAATCTTCCATAAGTATGAATTGAATGAAATATATTCTTCTAACGTACTATTTCTCTTGTCTGCCAATTTCCCTGCAAAAACGAAATGCCAGTACTCAACAGTAAGATTTGAACAGTATTTAGCTCTTGTGCCATTAACTGTTCCGGGCACAAACTTTTGAGGCTAGTTGAAGTAAATTATCATACGTTGCCCTCTGCAAATTATTGCAAATGTGCTGACCATGGAAGGTTTATGTCACTGTACAGCAACAAGCAGTTTGTGTATATTGGCACCTTTTTCAGAAATTGCACAGCGGAAAGGCGCAAAAATCTTTTCGAGGTCATTTTATATATACACGAGTGTTCTTTTGATCGGCCACTGAATCTATAGAAAGAACTTTGATCTGGGTGGAAGAGAAATTTAGTACTACTAATATCTGCATTCAGCTTATTTCAATTTATACTCCTTTCTACCTAAGTTCATTTCAAGAGTGATTTTACAGTACTTGAGAAGGTATCAGGATGTATCATATTTTCTAATGTAAAATTTGATATCTTTTAGTATCTTCAGTATTAATATTAAAATGTACGAAAATTTACATAACAAAATTTGGTACTTTTTTTATCAAAGGGCCTTAACCCTTCATTTCCACTAAAAGAAATGTCACAGTTTACAGCAGAAAAAAAAAAAGAAAACAACTGCATCTAGAGCTTATAAAAGCGACAACAGACATTCAACAGTTGACTCTCTTCAACAGGCTAACAACTTTGCTCTTCTGTTCAAAAGCTAGACATTTCTCTCTTCTCTTCTAATCTGATCAGCTGCTTGTAATCCTTCTGAAGCTGGCACGCCACCCATGTCGTGAATTGAACACCTCATTTGTGACCTGCTTTAGGCTCTGTTTTTTTTAGCTTAAGATTATTATAATCTAGATTATTGAGTCAGATTACTATAAGTTAGATTGTTACAATCTATAGTAGAATAAGCGGTTATTTGTATCTTTCCTAGATTATTAGAGCCTAGATTATTGGGTTTGCAAGTCTAAAGAGGGAGTGGGGTGGCATGGTGGGTAATTTTTCACCCAATAATCTAGAAAAAGCTCACCTAAATGAGCTTATCAGATTATAATAAGTTGGGCTCCAGATTATAATAAGCTACTTCAATAAGTTGTCTATTTCTTTTAGCTTACTCCCAATAATTTGGATTATAATAATCCCAAGCTGAAAGAAATAGGGCCTTAGCAATTGGATTCCCCATCGCAGCTTTTCTTGATTTCCCACCTGTCTCTGCAAAATAACCCAATCATGCATCCATGAGCACGCTTGATATAAAATGTCAGTGGGATCCTGTGACAACAACCGTTTAAAACAGGTTTTATTTCTTGTTTTCCAGACAGACCATAACACAGCTGCTGTCCCTACCAACAGTAAGTGTTTATAAAATTTGGTACTTACCTCGTAAGGAAAGTAAAATTTCTCTTATTTCAAACAGACAAGGTGGGTGGCAAGTGTGTGAAGAACCTGCCAACTACAGCCATATGCTGCCGCGCTCGCAGCCCCATGGGCCACGGGCCGTAGGCCGTGCTTGTGCTGTTTGCCTGGAACATGGGCCGGACCGGCTCGGCCCGTGCCGTCTCGTTCCTGGGCCGGGCCTTATGCGGCCCATTTCGTCGTCGTTCCGCCGCGCCGCCTACGCCGATCTACATCCGCCGCGCCGCTGTTCCCGCCTGCGAGTGCGAGAGGAGCAGCGGCGCCGTCGTCCTTCTGCCGCCGGTGACCACACGTTTATACGCAATTCCTCTTTCTCATCCCTCTCTAACCACACCCTTTTTTGTTCTTTTTTTGCCTTATAAACATTTGTCTTCTGTTCGTTCTAGATCTGGAAGCTCTGGTTTCTTTTCTTTCTTTTTTTTTTTGCTGTTAATTTTCCTTAACCTTAATTAGGGGAGTACTGTACTAACGGCAGTTTGTTTTCTTCACCCCAAAATCTCGGGGCCTCCATGTCGCATGCTACATCCGCCCCTGTCGATGGGGATCGAGTTCGAGTGAAAGAATCGTCTTGCCGCTCGCTGTTGCGTCGACGGTACCGAAACAGATCAAGTTCGTTCCTCTTTCGATTTGCAATTTTACTACTACTGCTGCTGCTGCTGCTGCTGCTGCTGCTGCTACTTTTCAGCGTTTATCATTCTGTTTGTTTTTATAACAAAGCTGCTATTTTCATTGCGGCGGATGGAATTGGGGACTAGGGTGGAGCAATTACTTCTGTTGCACAGTTTTAACTCTTGTAGTGTGGTCGCTCATGCTTTAATTCAGGCTCTTCCCTCTTCTTTGATTTTTGCTAGAATTGAGCTCATCGTCATTGCGGAGTTGCGAAAGATTCTTGTATTATGTTCACACCAAATTTCCTAGAAAATTAGGAGTGTCTGGTTGGTTTCCGGGGTGTGTTGGGTGACTCCACAACGAGGTTCCACCAATGCTCTATCGTTTGGCAGTCCGGCCATTTATCCATTTGGAGGTCAGTGCTAGTCCACCTCTGGATTTCCGTCCAGATTCTCCCTATGACTATGCATCTGGCGAAGAGATTCTCCTTGTGATGTTGTTTCACATATTAGATCCACTATTAATTGTGCTTAGAGCAAGTTTAATAGTGTAGCCAACTACTAGCTCCAATTCATCTATAGCTAATCTAATAGCTATTTCATACAACAATTACATACTACAATATTAATGTATGGTCCTACCTGTCATACACACACAGTGTCTTGAAGTCCGTGTACAGCTGGCTATAAATCTATAGCCCGCTGTCCTTCTCTCTCTTCATTTATCTTCTTAAAATATGTTTGTAGCTGCTATTGTACCTGCTCTAATTGTAAAACAATGGTAGTACTATCTTGAAGCAATGGTTGAACAGAAGGTCAATGCAGATGCAACCTGCAGGCTTGCTAGTCAACGAAACGCGTGCATTTGCATCGTCGTTGTGTCATGTCGTCAAGCTGGCAGGTCAAAGCTAAGCTAGGACGACGTGCGACTGTGACACTTCACCTGCAGATACATACACCCACAGTTTCTGACTTCTCAATTCAGTCGGCCATGCTGCCTTGATGATCGATCGATGCAAAGGCAGGCAGGAGGATTCATTTCCATGGCGTGGTCAATGCCACCGCTGGCTTTGTTCGCCGCCGTGCTGGCGCTGCAGCAAGCTATCGCCGCCGCCGCGGCGGCCGGAGACTGCCCGACCACCTGCGGCGACGTGGCCGTGCCGTTCCCGTTCGGCATCGGCGCCGGCTGCTACCACTTGCCCGGGTTCAACCTCACCTGCGACCGGAGCAGCGACCCGCCGCGGCTGCTCCTCGGCGACGCCGCCGCGTTCCAGGTGCTCAACGTCTCCATCGTCAACGCCACGGTGCGCGCCGCCCGCGTCGGCGGCATAAACATCACCTACGGCGGCGGGAACACGTCGTCGGCCGACGAGGGACGCGGCGCTTGGCGGGGGCTCGGCGACGGCGGGCCGTTCGCGCTGTCCGAGGATCGCAACGAGCTCGTCGTCGTCTGGGGGTGCGACGTCGTGGCGCTGCTCACCGACGGCGGGGGGAGCGGCAACAGCAGCAACGTCACCATCAGCGGCTGCGCCTCCTTCTGCCCCGGCACCGACGCCGGCGGCCAAGCGATCGCCGCCCCAGCGGGTTCCACGATGTCGCTGACCGAGGACAGGCGGTGCACCGGCGTCGGCTGCTGCCAGATGCCCATCAGCGTCGGCCGCGACTCCTACCAAGTGCGTCTCCGCCGGCTCAACCCGAGCCCGCCCCAGCCGCCGCCGCCGCAGGGCGCCGGCGACCCGACGGTGGTGCTCATCGCGGAGCAAGGGTGGGTCGCCGAGGCCTCTAGGTCCACCCGAGGCTACCCGCTCCCGGTCACCTTCGACGAGACGGCGGTGCCCGTGTTGCTGGGGTGGATGATCGCGTCGACCCGCGTCGGCGCCGACGGCGAGGTGCCGGTGAACTCGACGTGCCCCGCCGACGCCGCGCGCAGCGCCTGCAAGAGCAGCCACAGCTCGTGCCGCAACGTCTCCAGCTCCGCGCGCGCCGGCTACGTCTGCGACTGCGACGCCGGCTTCCATGGCAACCCCTACCTCGCCACCGGATGCCAAGGTAAAATTACATACAGAATTCGATTCTTTTTCTTGTGAATTCGAGCTAATTTGTGTCGATTTGGGCGATTTGCGAAGACATCAACGAGTGCGAGCGTGCAGAGGAGCACGGTTGCTTCGGCGAGTGCATCAACACGGCCGGATCGTTCCTGTGCCGGTGCCCTGCAGGAATGCAAGGCAACTACACCCAACGCAATGGATGTTTCAGACCTCCTCTTCCTGCTCGTTCTTCTACAGGTGAGCAATCACACATTCACACAATACTTAATCACAGCTGCAACTTGATTGGTGAAAGAAAAGTTTACAGTAATACTATCTCTGCTCTTACATTCTTGTCATCTTCAGGTTTAAGCATCGGTGTGGGTGTCAGTAGTGCTGCAAGCCTTATACTTATAGTGATCATGGCGATCTTCATCATCCGCAAGCAGAAACGCAGGAGGGCCAAGAAGATTAGGCAGAAGTACTTCAAGCAGAATCGTGGGCAGCTACTGCAGCAACTGGTAGCTCAGAGGGCTGACATTGCAGAGAGGATGATCATACCGTTGGGTGAGCTCAAGAAGGCAACAAACAACTTTGATAGAGCTCGTGAGCTCGGCGGCGGCGGCCATGGCACCGTGTACAAGGGGATCTTGTCCGATCTCCATGTCGTCGCCATCAAGAAATCAAAGATTGCAGTTCAAAGGGAGATCGATGAGTTCATAAACGAGGTTGCCATTCTCTCGCAGATAAACCATAGGAACGTGGTGAAGCTTTTCGGATGTTGCCTCGAGACAGAAGTGCCATTGCTTGTCTATGAGTTCGTTTCCAATGGAACCCTTTACAGCCATCTCCATGTCAGTGGACCAAGATCACTACCATGGAGTGACAGATTGAGGATTGCAACTGAGACAGCCAAAGCTATTGCCTATCTGCACTCATCAGTTTCAATCCCAATAATCCACAGAGATATCAAGTCCACTAATATACTCCTCGATGACACTCTGACCTCCAAGGTGTCAGACTTTGGAGCTTCAAGATGTATCCCGGTTGATCAAACAGGGGTAACAACAAAGGTTCAGGGAACCTTAGGATACATGGATCCGGCATACTATTACACTCAGAGGCTTACAGAAAAGAGCGACGTGTACAGCTTCGGGGTCATTCTTGTAGAGCTTCTCACAAGGAAGAAGCCATTTTCTCACCTGACACCTGAGGGTGAAGGTCTGGTTGCACATTTTGTCACTTCATTTACAGAAGGCAATCTAGTTGGAGTGTTAGACCTGCAAATCATGGAGGAGGCAGACATGAAAGTTGTCGAAGTAGTAGCTACGCTAGCTGTGACATGTGTAAATCTGAGAGGAGAGGACCGGCCTACCATGAGACAGGTTGAGATGGCACTTGAAGGCATTCAGGCATCCAGGGAAAATGTTTCAGGTAATCTTTCTGCAGAGAAGCTTGGAGAGAGCAATAATGTCGCGAGGGATTTCATGCCAAGCCAAGAAGGAAGAAGCATGACAGAAGGGACTAGGCAATATAGTTTGGAAGAAGAGTTCTTGTTGTCTTCAAGGTACCCTCGGTAGTTTTCTGGTCATCTGTGTTCATGTAAAGCTGATTTCAGTTTCATTTTTCCCCAAGGAGTTTATGTGTTCTTTAAAGAATTGAAAATTACCCTCATTCGAGTTAAAAACAATGGGCCATGACATGCTTCTTACCAATCGGTAGCCTTGCCATTTACCCTTTATTATTGGGCTGTATTTCTGGAGTTTAATATTGGGTCTATTTTGTACTGACGACATGGCCCTCTACCTGCCAGAAAATTCAGCTAGCAGACAAAAAAAATCATTGGATGCAGCAAGCTGAATGCTAAGTCCACTGAAGAAATTTCTATCCTTTGTATATAAATTTATTTCCAATTGTAATAAACAATCATGTGATTCGCGAGTTTTACACGTAATATTAACAGCGTAGTGTGTGTAGGTGCATCGTGCACGCGATGAACACCATCCCAAATTTCCTAAGTTTGACTAATTTGAAAGCTACTAACTTAGAAAAATGTAGAGATCACATGAGCGGGAATGACGGCCGGATGGCGATGCCGCAGAGCCCCTCCGGCTTGCCGGCGACGTCCTTCTTCATCTTGATGTATCCCTGGTCGCCCCAGTTCTTCCCCCACGAGTTCTTGATGATCCAGTACTTGTCGCCGCCGGCGGCGCCGCCGTCCGCCGCCGCCTCCTCCTGGCCGTAGCCGACGACGGTGACGCCGTGGTTGAGCCGCGTCCCGCACGGCCCGTCGTACACGCCCTTCCTGTAGTGCTGGAAGTTGTCGCCGCCGGCCTCGATGGACACGGCCACGGGCTGCGCCGCCGCGGCGTTCGCCAGCGACGCCTCGCTCCGGGTGGCCACGCGGCGGAGCCCGGCGATGGTGGCGGCGTGGTGGCCCAGCTTGGCGCGGTCGCAGGCGGCGGAGGCGGCGGCCGTGTAGGGGTAGTCGTCGCGGGTGGTGATGCCGCCGTTGGCGGTGATCCACTCCAGCGCCCGGTAGCTGACGCCGCCGTCGCAGCCGCTGTCGAGCGTGTCGCAGTCGACCAGCTCCTGCTCCGACAGTGACACCAGCTTCCCCTTCTTGATCTTCTGTATCCCCTCCACCACCGCCACCGTCGAGAACGCCCAGCACGATCCTTTTAATACAGACACAGTAATATAGCTAATTAATTACTTCACTAAACACAGTAGAATAATAATATTACTAATAAGAAATGAAATAGTTTCTTTACAAACATGGTGCAAACGCAGGCGAAGGATACGAATAGTTAGTAATACAATATATATGATGCTGTTAACTTTTAAATATGAAATCATATTCATCTTATTAAAAAATCATGTAAGTATTATTTATTTCACGTTACTTATTTTATTATTAGAAGTAATTTTAATATGACTTATATTTTTCATTTTTATATGCTAGATTCGAATTAAACGAAAATTAAACTTTATTGAAAAACAGAGAGAAAGGGAGTATTATTATTATGCATTTGGGTCGCATAATGAAAGAGACAGGGGGCACATGTGGTTAGTAGCGAGCCATGTGTTTACAGAGAGGTCACAAATAATTGAGAGTTTATTATTATCTAAAAAATGAAATAATTGAGAGGTTGACGTGTTAGCTAGCTGGAGTAGTGCGTACCACATCGCCCTTGGTCCTTCACCTCCGTCACGGCGCCGCTCGCCCGCCAGTCAACGCTCGCCGGCGCGCCGGCGGACTCGTTGAAGTACACCTCCGGCTGCAGGTTGTGTTCGTCCACCGGCCCGGCGCGCGTGGTGATGATCGTCGTCGCCGCGTCGTCGTCGTCGCCGTCTGACGACCGCAGCGGCGGCGGCGCGGTGTACATGGCGATGAACTCGTCGTTGGTGAGGTCGGTGTAGGCCGTCTCGCCGAGCTCGTACGCGAGCCCCGCCGCCGCGTTCGTCGCCTCGATGTACCGCACGTTGCGCGCGTACACCCGGAGCCGGCGGCGCTCCTCCCCCGCCGTGGCGTACGACCGGTTGTACTCCGCCTTCCACCGCCGGAACCTCTCCACCATCGTCGTCGTCGTCGCCGGTTCGCCCTCGGTGACGCGGCGGGCCGTCGCCGGCGACGAGCAACCGAGGAAGAAGACGGCTAATATGAGCAGTAGGCATGGGAGAGATCGTTTGGAACAGAAGGATGCGGCCGCCATGATCGACTGGCAGGAGGCAGCTCGTGAGGAAGAGGAGGAGACGAGCGTGTTTAATCACTAGGACTAGTCAATTAAGGAAGGGATAAGATAATAAGACCAGCTACTAATAACTAAGAGGATTTTTTTTTTGTTGTCTGCATAGCATTAGCCTGCAAATGATTGGAGGGAATGAAGAACAAATCACACACACAACCAAAAACTAAATAGATAGTGGTGACGTCGTAGTCTATGAAAAGATAAGAAAATTTCTAGGAGGAAATCGACAGGATATGCATCTCCCCTGCCTTTTTTGCATTATATATGCTCGTGTGTTTAATCACAAGGGTAAGATCATAGGACGAACCGCTAATAATAATTAAGAGGATTTTAATGTACTCTTCTTTCTTTCTTTCTCTTGATGCATAGTAGCCTGCTTGTGATTGGATTGGAGGGAATTAGTGAACTAAGTCAAACACAACCAATTGCTAGTCGTGTGTTGAGAAATATTGGAAAATAGGCAAAGAAAAAAAAAGAAAAATAAACAATTGGTTGTGTCTGAGGGGAATTTGAGGGAATTAATGTTGCATTTCTATTTAGAGACTTCTCAAATACTACTTCTTCTGTTTCATGTTATTGTAAGACGTTCTATGATTTGAATTCACATATCTATTTCATATAGGAAAAATATGTAGTGCAAGCCACATATGTAGTGGAAACTTAATTAGAAACTCATAGTGACGTGGACGAATCTCGGACGTTCATTTCTCGATCCAACGGTAGTTTTTAAGTTTCCACTACATATATGGTTTGCATTACATATTATATGTGTCCAAATTCAGATTTGGAACCATCGGATCATTTCAAGATAAAATCACAATTACATTTCAAAGTAGGAACAAGAACACAATTGGCTCATACTCCCTCCGTCCCACAATATAAGGGATTTTCAGTTTTTGCTTGCAACGTTTGACCACTCGTCTTATTCAATTTTTTTTTGCAAATACAAAAAACGAAAAGTTGTGCTTAAAGTACTGTAGATAATAAAGTAAGTCACAAATAAAATAATTAATAATTTCAAAAAATTTTGAATAAGACGAGTGGTGAAACGTTGCAAGCAAAAACTCAAAATCCCTTATATTATAGGACGGAGGGAGTATTATACAGGCGGGAATGGGATGCATCGTAGATAGGCGATGCATGAGCAATGAATCAACCAATACCGTTAATTAAGCTTATTCATGAATGTAGGCACGCAGTAAAACGCGTGCACGACAACAAACGAACAGAAAATGAAAATTAAACCAAACATGAATGGAGTAGTATAGCAACAAGCATAGCCGCATACTCACTCGCGCACAGCAGAGGATAGTAAGCCAAGCGCATGCGTAGTACGTGCCTGGGTAATCGACACGACTATACGTATAATTAACAAAAAAAATGCAAGAAATAAACACATAATATATTTATAGATAGAGAAATTAAATAAGTTCCCAGTCTTCCTGCTTTTGGAACACCTTGCCTTGTTGGCTACCCTGTGCGTGTTGTTGGACAGGAGCGTTAGGTTGATCGGGCATCTGGAGCTTGTCGGACAAGGTCTTGGTCCCCTTGATGGAGAGGAGAAGCCAGACGAAGGAGAGGAACTCGCCGCCTTCACCCAAGCTCTTGGCGTGGAGGTAGCCCCTGCACATGGCGGCGGAGTAGAAGAGCATCCCAACCCAGACATGGTACATGAGCTCACACCGCGTCTCGTCGTCGAGTAGCAGCAGCTCCTGCGTGAGCCTGCAAGCTTCATGGACGAGAGGATACTCATTGGGACCTGGGCCCGAAGTACTTCTCATAAAGATGGTGTCCACCATGGCCATGTCATCTTGGATGGAGGGGCGCTTGAAGTGACGCCCGGCCCGCAGCTTGAGGATGGCCTCGACTTGCTGCATGGCCTCGGCGAAGAGATGCTGCCTGCTGCCGGTCAAGAGCATGTCGGGGCGGAAGTTGAGCAGGTGTGCCATGTAGTTGGAGATGGCCTCCGTGATCACCTCGCGAGGGTGGGCGGGGAAGGTGGGAGGCTGGCAGGTGAAGCATAGGTCGGTGGCGATGTGCCAGAAGAGGACGCTTCTATCGAACGACCCGAGCAGGGTGCTCCGTACCTCTGTCCCTTCGCCGCATGCCCTTCGCCCCAGGTCGTGGCTCAGAATCCAGTTGTTCATCTCAGAGTCCAAGTTTCTGTAGCTGCCGAGGTCGAGACCTTCTATCTGATCGCTTCGCAGTAAATCAAAGACCAGATATCCGGCGACCTTGCTGTACAGCTTGTCGTGCTTGGTGTCGAAGTAGCCCTCATAGCAGCCAATGCGGGTCGCACACTTGATCAGCCACCCAGTTGGCTGTAACCTCCGGAGAGCCGCGTCGATGAGGTTGTACTGCGCGATCCACTCGCACAAGGATGGAACCTTTGCAACAAACATGACCAGGTGTATCAGCCCCCGGAAGAAGAAGGCGGAAATGTCTAGCACGGCGGTGAAGCACAAGAGGATGTAGGTGATCTTCACGTCCGTGGCGTTGTAGCGGCCACGCTTGTGGCTCACGGCGAACAGCGTGATGGAGGCGACGTGCAGGGCTGGAACCAGCAGGAGATGGTAGGCCAAGTAGGCGGGAGTCCACGTCACTTTGGCTCTGGTGTAGATGAGCCCGAATGCGTTTTGCAACCATCTCTTGGAGAACCTCTCCGCCCCTATTGCCCGGCTTAGAATCGCCGTGCCCTCCTGGTCCACGCTATCCAGAACGCCCCTTCTCTTGAGCTCGGATACAGCAGCGAACAATGACATGTCCGAGAGTAGCATGTGGACACGGTTTCTTGTTGTCAGGCCTCGCTTCCGAGCGCTCTGCTCCTCCAAGTCGGTGAAGCAGAAGCGGTACGCCTTCTCCCACTTGCCGTCATGCCGTGTCGTCCCTTGTACCAGGGACGACACCGCCGCCAGCTTTTGGATTCTGGCTCTCTTGAAGGCCCATGGCTTCTCGCTGAAGCTCAACACCCCGATGACAAACATCAGGATCGCCGACACCCATAGCCTCTTGTCAGTGGAGTTGGGCCACAACTTGTAGAAGGCGTACACCGCCACCGCCACCTGAGACACCAGGGTCACGGCGTGCCGCGTCCACAGCTCGTTGTCCTCGATGTTGTAGGCGGTCAGCTCCCGCTGCCCGCCAAGGTGGATAAGGAGGACGGGAGCCCACAGGATCTCAAGGACGCCGGCTTGGCCGCCATTGGCATTGGTACCGCCGCAGCTGGCGCCACTTCTTGCCTTGGCGTGCCGGTTGAAGAGGGTGGCCAACGCGTAGATGGCCAAGGCGTCACTGCTAACGTAGGCCAGCCAGATGCAGGTCCTCAACAACCTCGGGATGGTGTACTTGCGCATCGGGGCGGCCACCAGCAAGAACCATTGGAGGCCCAGGCTGCCCAGCACCAAGATGCGCAGCTGCCACTCGTCCCACCATCGCACCGCGCTCCACACATCGATCATCATCTTCTTCTTCTTCTTCTTCTTCTTCTTCTTCTTCTTCTTCTTCTTCTTCTTCTTCTTCTTCTTCTTCTCACCAGAGAATTAATTACGACTAAGTGTACATACGTATATGCATGTAACAAGGTTGTGGTAGCTACCCCGGCTTACAATCAAGTTTTGCTTGCATGCCCTCATCTGTTCGACCAGACCACTAGCTAGCTATATATATATATACCCGGTGCCATGCATGCTACTGCTCTGGTATTGTAAATATCCAACTTAATTTTTAAACCATATATGTTCGGTGATACGTTCATTTGCTCGTTATTGTAGATTCATTATCTAGCTAGGAACCTTTGATGAGTCCATGCAACTTTAATTCTAATCATTGTTTCCAGCTCGATCTGTTTTGAGCTTCTGTGTGTTGTAGCTCCTTGCCCCTGCAGCTATATATGATCTGTAAACCTTGGGCAGTTGGGCTTTTGAGTCTTTTCTTCCCTCTTAATATATACAGCAGAGCTAGCTCCAACCGTCGTATCCTTAAAAGAAAGTCCATGCCGGCCCATTACAACTTTCTAACCATTAAATTTTGGAGTAATTTGAATACTAACACTGAGGGTTCAAGATATATAGGTGCCTTTGATTAAAATTTTAACAATTTCGAATTTTGAAGAAATAAACTAAAATTAAGAGTCCATTATATTAATTAAGAGTTGGGGTGTGTGTGTGTGTGTGTGTCAAAATAAAGCATATGCTATTGTAAATATCATGTATTCCCTAGTTTTAGTTATACCCAAAATTTTCAATAACTCCTAGATTTAGAATTAATAAATATTGAGCTCATTATTTAATTATTTTTTTATTATAGGACTCGAATTAATAATTACTAGGATTTAATATGTAAAAATGGTACCATTAGCTAGGTTATTGTGAAAAAAATACTAGCATATAAATGTTAATCATTTTTAAATCCATTGAAAAGTAAATACAGAACATTTGTATTATAGACTGTATTCATGCCCAAAACATCACATGCAAATTAAAAAGAACGGATGTAGTACGTACCTCCATAGATTTTTTACATGACTTATTTTATTTAGAAAAAAAATCTTCAAGATTTTTTTAGCTTTCTGATTACCATTTCATGCATTATCAGAGATATAGCAAAAAGAAGAAGAAGAAGAAGAAGAAGAAGAAGAAGAAGAAGAAGAAGAAGAAGAAGAAGAAGAAGAAGAAGAAGAAAAGGAAACAGGAGGAAAAGATAAATTAGTCATTACAGGAGGAAAAGATAAATTACACCTTTGCGTGTTTGTGGTCATATTCTAAGCTGTTACGTGTACTAGCAATGATGCCTAGCATATATATGCTCCCTGCTTTACTTTTCATATGACACTCTGTTATGTCTTAAGCTTTGCATTTTATGTCTCTATTGATATATTTACCTGCCATGTGATTGCCCATGTCCGATCCCTTACGTACTTTGCGTGACCTTTCTTCACGATTACTGTATACTTTAGTTAGTGATTCCTTCTAACTTTGCATGCAGGCATGTTTTGATTGCCCTCCCTCTTTTGTGACGCGACTAGAAATACACAAGTTGTACATGTTAATTTCTCTTGACAATGACTGCTTGAAATAGGGGGACACATCGATCGTTAACCAAAACTTGACAAGTTTGGTCCAAACAATATATTAGAAAGGAGTTGATTCCTTTTGCTTTTTTAAAAAAAAAACTAAAACATTATTATATATACTATTTTTTCTTTTCTTCGTGCACGTATTTCAGAGTCAGACGTGGTTGATATAACTAATCGAGCTATCGACAGAGTATGTTCTCTTTCGCGTATTTTAGAGCCACGCATTGAGTATATATGAAGCAGAATAATATACATATATATAAATATTCGGAAGCACCTACATATATGTACATTGACAAATTAAATTCGACCGACGACATAACATTTACAAGTATTTTGAATGAATTACAAAACCCTAGCTATATTATACGGATAGTCCAGTTAGACAGGGATTCGTTCTCCGGCAGGGCTAAGACTCCTTCGTTGTCGAAAAACCGCCCAAGCTGATGTGCGCACTCACGGTGGATGAAGTAGCACATGTCCGCCTGAATGTTCTGAATGGATGTATCATTGAGCTCTCTTTCAGACTTGGGGAATTTTGGAAGCTGCATCAGATCATGACAGAATTAAGGAAATTAACTATTCATAATAATACAAGTTAGCGACTAATTTAACAAGTGTGTATTACTTACCTCGTCGTAATTCGCACAATATTTCCCATTAACCCTTAGGAACTCAGAACAATAATATCCGCATAGTACTATTCCCACCGGTTGCTTGTGACACTTTCAACATCAAAATAATTATAAGGTATAATAAGTTATTACATGGAAACACACAAGCATTTATGAAAATTAAGTAGTACTATGTGGCATCCATATATATGTATTTACCGGCCACTTATTGCGGACGAATATGCGTTCTCTTGAGTTTTTGCGTTGTTCGCCTCGCTGGTAATACCTTTTAAATGCACTGTTTTGCGGATATAATTAATTTACGTTTATCAGAGGTTAAAACACGTCATGCTAATATCTTACTTACAGATCGATAATTCTTAGAAATTCCTGATAGGTATTGCTATCTTTGTCGAGAGAATCCAAGACGATGACTTCATTGTACTTTGGATAGAGAAGAAAGACTATCCATTGGTCGCTGCAAACGAAATTGTTAGTCGAGCCATGATTATATGTATATACTCTTAGTGCATATATATTACAACTTACTCAAAGGCATATGGGGCATAAACACACTCCTTGTCCTGCATAGATTCAAGCGCAATAGCTACGTACGTAGCGACATCGAGCATCTTTTCAAGATGCTTTTGTGCTATGTAAGCTTTCCTCTCTTCGGGAGTCATCACCTTGATGTGTTCCGGTAGCTTCTTCTCGTCTAGCGTATATGTGTGGTTCGGCTTACTTATCATGCACGGGTTTAGGTAGGCGACAGGCTTTTTCATCGCTTCGGCTTCCACGTAATTCATCCTGCCAACAATAGATGATCAAATGAGCTACGCATATAGGTGTAGTGATCTATTAACACGTTCAAGTGTAGCACTTACAGACACCAGATGGCAATCAAATTGGCGTCCAGCCGCTTCCTACGGTAGAGGGAATGCATATCGGAGAAATGGACTTGGAGTAGACAAGGACCGCTCCAGAAGATGTTCTCCCCCACGGCAACTGTGAATGAATTGATGCCTTTCATGGTGCTAGCCCTAATGTACCAATCGTGCCACCTTCTTAGTTGCCACGGTCCTTCTCTTAGTTGCCAGTCGTAAATGAATGGTTTGCCATTCTCAAACTCGTGTGGCACATCTGCGGAATTGATATAGTTGAGATAGTCATCGAAGGTCTGTTTGAACCCTTTTAATTTTCTGTTATCAAATTCGGCATTTATGATATCTTTGTCCCTTCCTCGTAATGCCGATATAATTGACTTGTAATATTTATAGTTTTGTACTATAATTAGCCATATTAGAGTTGTAAACCATCAATATTTTCTCTAGCAACAATGCTATTAATATTAGTGTTCAAAGGCGAGTAAAAAAATTATACAACCACATTACATAATCAAGAAATCAAATAATAATTTCATATAATTAGACTAAGCAATGCTTTAAGATGTGAAAGAAGTTTTATGCTATGATTTAGTAGTCGTTGAGAGTTATAATGCTCATAGTTTTAGACTCAATCAACGGGTTTTTTCTACCCACGGGTTAGTGGGTACGGGTGGGTAAAGAACGGACCCATACCCATGTACCCAATGGGTAAGAGTTTTCGCCCGTTAGTAGACCCATGGGTATAAGAGTTAGAACACGATTGGCTCCTAATAGAGTAAAAACCCGTCGGGTCTCGGGTTATGGGTACCCATTGCCATCTCTATTTCCGGCCCAAGCCCAGGTTGTGGCCTGGGGGAGGAAAAGTGCGCCCGCGCGTGTGCAAAAGGCCGTGGGGCATTTTAGAACAATGTAGAGGCATTTTAAAAAATGTCTAATAAGTGTCTTATGGTGAATTGTCTCTACAGACGAAGAGACATTTTATAAAATGTCTATAAGATGGTAGAGGCATTTTTTAGAGACACTAAATTGTACCGCAAACATATAAAACCAGTCCAAAAAAGAGAATAAAATAGTTTCCTTGCTTTTGATAAGTCTTGAACTCATGATCTTTTGGTTAAATCATTCTAATCTTTGATACACTAACCAACTCAACTCCATGTCATTACTTGTATACTTGTTCCTTTACTTACTTATATTTAATCCTTTAGTACACATTATCATTCTAAAAAGTGTCTCTACATAGTTTAAAATGTCTCAACAAAATGCCTTTATATATTAGACGCATTTTATAGTGCCGAAAGAATGCCTCTACGAGATAAAATCTAACAAAATGATATAAAAATGTCTCTAGAGTAAAAGTTTTCTAGGCAATTTTTAAAGTGCCTCTATAAAGTGTCTCTACACTATAAAACTTCTGATTTTAGAAGCAATTTACAAAATGCCTCTACAAAAGTGCCTCTATACGAGGTTTTTGTTGTAGTGGGGAGAGCTGGACAAGCTCACTATGAAGGAAAAATACAACGGTGGTGAACAAATCCACACAGCAAGTGGTGCAAGTATGGATATTAGTCATATTGGTCATGCTATTGTTCATAATCCCAATAGTCGTAATATCCACCTTAGAAATGTTTTATATGTGCCTCAAGCTAAGAAAAATCTTGTTTCAGTACATCGCTTAGTTAATGATAACTCTGCCTTTCTTGAATTACATCGTGATTATTTCTTTCTTAAGGATCAAATCACCAGGAAAACTCTCCTTAAGGGAAGATCATGGCGCAGGCTATATCCTCTACCACACTCCTCCTTGAAGCAAGCCTACAGTGCCATCAAACTATCTTTGGACCGGTGGCATCATCGTCTTGGTCATCCTTCCATTACCACGGTTAAACAAGTAGTCAATAAGTTTAGCCTCCCCTGTTCAGATTTGTCTAGTGAGTCAGTTTGTAATGCTTGTCAACAAGCAAAGAGTCATCAATTACCTTTTCCTATTTCTTCCAGTGTTTCCAAACACCCCTTAGAACTTGTCTTTTCTGATGTTTGGGGACCTGCT